TATCTGTGATAATTTAAGGTAGTCCCACACTTTCTCTCTACTCTAGACCATTTCCGAGTCTCTCATTAATCGCTATAATTATTCCTTTCTCATCGTTTTTAAAAAACTCTGAAAAGCATCGTCACACCCACAATCATGGCAACACAAAAAGGCTTGCTGGCAAGACTTAGTCAAAGCCTTATTTTGAGAAGAATGACAAAGGAAGTTTCAATGTAAAACAGCGAAAAAAAGAAAAATCACAAATAGAAAAAGACGTAGCGAGAGAAGAATAGATAATGATATCCCTCTGTTACCGACCTGGTGACAACCGGTTGATCCTAAGGTATTTGAAAAGTTCAAGAAGATCATCATGGAAGCCAAACTTCGCCTTCCTGTTGTCAATTTCTTTTCTTTGTTTCACTATTTCATTTTGTAAACTGTCTTTATAATTCTCGATCTCTAATGTAATATTGAACTTGTCGGACTTCTTTTTCATTACTCTCAGCTCACGGACGAAAAACTCTTTTTATTAGTTCAAGTATTTACTTCGCTGTCTTCTGCGTGGAAAAATTTGGGAAAAGTCGGCGGGAAATTCATAAAGAGGGGTGATGAATGGTCCATGAAAATTTTTAACTGCTCACAAAATTTTACCTTTGCTCGATTTGCTCGCAAAAGACGAGTGCTCGCTTGCTCGTGCTCCCCACATTTTTGCAGTTGCTCGCATGCTCGCTTTCTTGTCAGTATTGCTCGAAATTTTGTAAATCCCTCTTTGGGTTAAAGTAAATGTAATTCTGTATGGTGCTTATTTCCTATAAATATGGCTATCAAGTTCAGTGGAAATTCACGCGATAAATGACAACGATAAATAATAAATTAGTTGATCTAGCTATTTATGGTTACAAGAAGAGAAGATATTGTTACCTTGAGTTCTTCTGAGTTTCTCTACCGCTCTTCTCACTGGGCTTTAATTAGGCCGTGTTTTCGATAAAAACGGTTTGGAAGCTTTAGAATTCTTCCAGAAGAGGCTGTTCTAACACGAAGATCTTATTCCTATATAAAAAGTTCTCGCTGCTCGCGAGTTGTACTCTCCAAACTGCTCGCTGCTCGCAAAGCAAATTTTTTATCTCTACTCGTGCTCGCAAAAAAATCGCAGTGATCGCATGCTCGCGAATGCTCGCAAAGACCATTCGTCACCCTTATAAAGGGTAAGAGAAGCTAAGAGAAAAAGCATTTATCAGTTTATTTATTGTTCTGTGTTGGAGCCCGTTTCTTGTAAGTTCTGGTAACTTTTCGGGCCCGAAGGCAAAGTTTAAAATCAAACCTGTCGAACAGTAGAACGGTTCCTAGCTCACGAACAAGTCAATTTTGTTTTCTTTAACTGTTAGTTTCATTCATTGTATAATTTGAAAGACTACTTAAACTTTGGCCTTCCGTTACCGAGACTATGGAGGAACAGGCCTCAGATTGCTTTTTCGTTAGACACCAAGATTCTAAGTCGGGTCCCGAAATTAACGTCTGATATCAGTCCCTTTCCTCGTCTGATATCAGTCCCTTTCAGTCCTTAACGAATCCCTATTCAGCGGACACCTCTATTAAGCGGCCCACGCGCACGGACACTAAAATAAGTTGTATTTGGCTAATTTCTAACCGGACTGAATTGACAATAGTAGTATTAGATTACGTTCTTGAAATACGTACTGAAGTCAAAATGTTTTTGCATTTACAAACAAATTCAGTTGGTAATGAAAGGTAATGAACTTGAACTCTGGATAGCTTCTTTAACAACATACAACTGTATCACAGTACAGAGTAACCGTAGCCTGAATTTCATCCGATTACTTCCAGCCGTTATTACTCCCTTAGTTGCAAAGAGGAGAAAAAGACTCGAAGCAATCGGATGAAATTCAGGCTAGCCGTAACCGTTGAATGTTGATCGTTAATAAACATTGCGAAATCTTTACAACCTCTATTAAGCGGACATAGGGAAGGTCCCGAAGGTGTCCGCTTGATAGAGGTTTCTCTTTATTCTTGTATATGAAAAGCTATCCTTCGTTTCTCTATTTTGGCTTGCTCCTCTAAATTTCTCGTTATCATTTCACTTCGAAATATTTTATGTAATTTAATTTTTCGATTTGGATGCTTATCAAACTAATCGGACAGGCTGTTGAATTTGGTCTTTAAATTTCGTCGAATGTCAACAAACTGCTGTTTCAAATCTTTTTATCAATAAAAGTTCATTTTGGACTAAAAGAGAAATTACTTGCACGTTATACAGTAGTATTCTTTCCGATTCAAAGTAATATTTTTGTTCTTTAATAACAGAAACCAGGCTAGTTACTTTTGTAATAGTGTCAATAGTGCCGATCTTTGAGCGAAGGATATTCACGCACAAATTTATTTATAGATCATTTCAGTTGAACGTGTGAACTTTTCAAAGAATAAAAGTTAACGAGGCTTTCAATTAGGTTGTATTTATTAATTTAAAAGAAATTCCATTTATTCGTACTTACACCTGGCACTAGTTTTATCCAACTTCCAAAAGATCCTTTGATATTTTGTGTACACTCGTTTACACATGACATGATTTGCGTGAAGTAAAAGTAAACAATGTGTTTTGAGGGAGACAAATTCTCCGAAACGCTTCATAGGGATAAGCTCGCATGAATCGGAATCAATGTCCAATGGTCTATATGCTACTTGTCCAGGGACATTTAAAGGCTTAAGCAAACGATCGACAATTTTGGCTGACTCTACCAACGTCACAAACCCATAGCTTGCGGAAGAAAGTAATATTTGGAATACTTATTTCCCTGAAAAATGCTCACGCATGCGCACTCCCAGATTGTCTAGGCGTCCCCCGGCCGTTCATCTCGGATACGTCACCGAATGCATTGACCGAGAGGGCCTGGAAAGACGCCGTACAGGGACGAGGCAACTATTTCTCCATAATTAAGCGAAACGTTCAGGGCTGTCATAGTGAGGTTGGGCTACCTTAGACTGCTTGCAGTCCGCTTTTTCTCTTAAAATCCGTCTAGTTCTTATCTCATCCAGCGCGATTGCAAACCGCGACGTTATTATTACAATATTATTTTTTCTTTTTTTCTTCTTTTACGCCCTCGTTTCTCGCGGCTCGCGGCTTTGCCGCTCGCGTTCTTAGTTCTTTGCAAAGAAAAATAAGAGACTGATCGCAGTCTAGGTGCGGTAGATCAACAATTCTCAGAAAGACAGGATGACAGATTTACGCCAAACCATCAAAACATTGCAAGGAACTCCATTTGATTGGTTAATAACACAGAGCATATTCTGTGTCACAAGACAAGACTTCATTGTTCATTCCCAAAGCCATTCCTTGGTCGTCAACAGTTTAAAAAGCTAAAGGCAACAATTTTTCAAAACTAACCTTATTTCCGACCTTTCCATGGATATAAAAACCTTGCTGGACAATCTTCATGATGAAGTATCCTGTCCTGTGTGCATGTGTACATTCACTGATCCAAAGCAGTTGCCTTGTTTGCACAGTTTCTGTCTTCATTGCCTGAACGGAATTCAACGAACGAGCGGCGTCCATGGAAAAATTACATGTCCGAGTGTAGGAGACAGTTTCAGATTTCTGGAAGTGGAAATCCCAGCGAACTTCCCACCAATTTTCGAATAAACAGCCTGCTAGATGTCTTGGCAATAAAAGAATGTAGTACAGCTAACGTGAAGTGTGGAAACTGCGATGAAAGGAGCGCCCAGACCTCGTATTGCTTCCAGTGTTGTTCCTTCTGGTGCGAGAAATGCATTTCTGGACATGACATAGTGCGTGCTAACAACGAACACAGAACGTTAGCACTAAAAGATTTTCAAGATCAAGACATCAAAGCTGTTTTAGAGCGACCAGGATTTTGTCAGAAGAAACACCATCAAAACAAAGAGTTGGAGTTCTTTTGCAAGGACTGTAAAGTCGCCATTTGCAACACTTGTGCTGTAATACTTCATGAAGGTCATGGTAAGATGCCCTTGCAGGAAGCTACTGATGAGCGCAAGACACAGATCAACTCCATGATTCGATCTTTGAAAGACAAAGTACTGGAAAAACAAAAGGAAGTCGAACAATTCGACCAAAGAAGCATCGTATTTCAAAGTAACCGAGGTGAAAAGCCAAGTGCAGTCTTTTGTAGACCAAATTATTGCGATCATCGAAGCGAGAAAACAAGATGTCATTGATGAAATTGATAACCAAGCGAAAAAATCACTGGATTCTCTCTCACAGAAAATAGACGAAGTTGAAAATCAAGTGAAATTAATTGAATCAGCAATTGAAGACAATGAAACTCTGTTGAAACGAAGCTTTAGCACTGAAATCCTGGGATTCAGTGAAACACATGATACAGTCCTACAGGAACAGAGCACCCAACAAAACCGTGACACTGAATATATTCCTCGGTTTAGTTTCATTAACAGTGAAAAACTGATTAACCTGTTGAGCATGAGCGAGGGGATAGGTAAAGTAGAATTTGTTTTCAGCGAAACTAAAGAGTAACAATCAGGAGCTAAAGGTAAAGAAAGTAGTAAAGTAATTGCGGGGAATAAAGGGGCAAATATTCATGACAGTCCTCTTGAGACTCAGGTACAAACCAGGCGCTTCAGATCTGTGTTGTCATTTGGACAAAAAGGTGAGTCTGTTGGAATGTTTAACAAGCCCTGGGGGGTGGCAGTGAATGATCATGATGAAATTGTTGTGACTGAATGCTGGAACCACAGGCTTTCAGTGTTTAGTAGTGACGGTACCCACTTAAGATCGTTTGGTAGGAGGGGTAAGAATAATGGTGAGTTTCAGTTCCCTGCAGGCATCGCTTTTGATAGTCATGGCAATATTGTAGTGGCAGACAGTAATATCCACAGGGTGCAAGTCTTTGATAGGAATGGTAACTTTCTTAGTAAGTTTGGTAAACAAGGAAGTCGTCAAAATCAGCTTCAATACCCTGAAGGTTTATCAATAAGCGGCAATGGTGACATTATTGTTACTGATAATTATAACAGACTAATCAAGATCTTCTCTTCTAGTGGCGAGTATTTACGTAAATTTGGTGGAGAAGGTTCTTTGGTCGACCCCTATCACTGTATTCAACACGGTCAATATTTTACAGTCTCAGATGCTGGTGATCATTCCATTAAAATGTTTAATCTTGAGGGAAAGTTTATTTCTAAATTTGGAAAACATGGAAACAAGGATGGAGAGTTCTTTTGTCCCCGTTGCTTGTCAGTTAACAAAGAAGGATTGCTAATGGTCTGTGATGAATGTAATCACAGAGTTCAGTTACTTGAACTGAATGGAAAGTTTGTTACAAAGTTTGGAAGTGAAGGTGGCGAGAGAGGAGAGTTTGAGAGTCCAGTGTCTGCAGCAAATCTTATAGTGATGGAAGGATAGTTGTGTGTGATATGGATAACAACCGCATCCAGGTTTTTGACGGGATATAAATATTATGATGTTACCAGTGGTAGTATTCTTGTGAAGTTCAAATTCAGAATTATCAAGAATAAGAACTGAACCGTCATTTTTCGAACAATGTCTTCTCGTGAAGTATTTGTCATTGTTGACCTTTTCTAGTTGTCATTAGGTTTCTCCTTCCATGTAGTTTGTCATTTCTGGAATGTAGCGATCATAAAAACTACGCTGTGAATGTATTAATAGCTAAAAGAACATTCAACTGTTTATTTATCTGCTCATTTAATTGCTGAATGTAGTTTTTAAACAAAATTAAAATTAGTGGGTATTAAGTTTTAGTATCATGTTTTTGTTGCTGTTGTTGTATAACTATTTACCTTTTTTCTGGCAGTTACTAGCTATAGTTAAAAGCGTATCTTTGGAAAAGTTATTTTTGAGCCTTAAGCTCATGTACCATTTTTTCTTAATTGATTCTTCAGTGCAGTTAATAATAATCTGTTAAACAAACTATAGAAAGATTTGTTGAAGATGCATTAAAGGATAATCAATAGAAAAAGTGTGTGTTTTTTGTTAACAGTTTTTGCTGTCAGTCAGACCATCATCTCACTTTACCTCAGTCTGGTGTCAATGTCTTAGCACACAAGTACTAACTGAGAACACTGTTTGTGCTTAACGGCTTACAGCTAGTAACTCTATGCTATTGCCTGTCTTAGTCCCGGACTAACACGGATGAACTGAAGGTCCGTTCTTCCATCCGTAAGGTCATTTCTATTGTTCTCGTACATGCGCTAACGCATAACTTTCCGAGCAAATGGACTGGTTTCGATACCTGCTATCGCCCTCATTTTTTCACTATGTTTTATAAAGCGTTGTTCTCTAATTTGCTTATAGCCGAAGGTTCACCCCGTTTGCAACAGGGCAAAGCCTATACCTTCTTCCTCACTATTTTAAGACTTAGAGTATTGGTCTGGTCCCGGGAATCAAAACCCCTCGACCTCCAGCTCTGCAGGCCTGCGTTCCACCGAATGAGCTAACTGCCGTTTAAATTGGCATTGCAAATCCTCAACAGACGTTTACCATAAAAAATGCTGGGAACGCGTCGCACGTTTTGCAAGCCGTACTCAAGTGTGGTCTGCGTGGCAGGAGCAAAACAGAAAAGGAAAAGGGAAAAATGACGAAAGGGAGAGGGAACGTATCTTATCTTAGCCTGAGAAAACAACTGACATTTTGCGACGCCACTGGTTTCCCCGTGAAATAACGCCTGAGAAACGGGCGCAGAAAGTCCATACTGATGACTAGTCACTGTTCAGATCTGGATAGTGCTTCTGCACCACAGGGTAGGTACGTTTCAGATGACTTGTTGCAATTAACGAGACAGACGAGACACGTTTGCATACGATTTCTCAAATAAGAACAGAACCACTGATTTGCAGAATCACGGGTACCATATGCTTGAAGTTTTGAAAGAAGAATAGCATGGTTTACCGTGTCAAAAGCCTTTTTAAGGTCTAAGAAGACAACTGCATTGACAAGGCCGCGGTCGACGTTCAAAGACCAGCTATCTGTGGCTTCGATCAATGCAGTAACTGTAGAGTGGAGTGTGCGAAAACCAGATTGGTAACAACAGAGAAGTTTGTTTTCGGTTAGATAACGATATACCTGATCATAAACAATCCGCTCGAAAACTTTAGCCACCACAGGAATGATCGAGATCGGCCGGTAATTTGAGGGATCGCTTCTATTGCCACATTTCTTGTAGAGAGGAGTGATCCTAGCGCTCTTCCATTCATCAGGAAATATACTTGTTTCAATCGATCGATTGAAAATGAGTG